TACACAGAGAAACCCTGTCTCGAAAAACAAGAAAAAAAAAAAGCTACCTATATAAATACTACTTCTTTACCAAGGATTATGACCCATTCCTTAGAAATGTGTAACATTGCTTGGCAGCTTGAGCAATCCTACTCTCCCTGAGCAAATGAAGTACATATGAATATTTTTCTTAGATAATGGAGGAGAAGAAATGAAGAGAAGGAAAGTAGAATATATCTACTGTGTGCCTGGACTGAAAATGGGAAAATACAAAAGGAACAAATTTCAACAGCTAGGAGGTATAAGGAAGAAGACGTTACCACTTAGATTTATATGTTTGTTTTATCAGAAAATGCACAATATGAATATAAATTGGTATAATGTAGGCAAATGAAATTAGGAGGTATAATAAGGGAGGACAAGAATTTGTAGATGATAATTATCTCATATTAGTATTCCTTGGAGAAAAATTAAGGCTCTGCTGTAATGGGAGACCTACATTGTTAGGTTCCTTACAAGGGATGTCAGCTGGGACAAAATTTGAAACCCTATGTAAGTGCAATCCCTGGAAATAGAGACGTCTCAGTTTCTAATAGCAGCTAGGAAGAAAAGGACTTGGCCAAGATCAGTGTGCCATTCAGAAACAGGAGTTCAAACTAGGCCTTTATTGTCTGGAGAGGAGTAGAAGCAGAAGTAAGGAAAACATGGTATTTGCTTTTAGACAAGTTACCAAAATCAACTGGACTGTCAGCAAGACAATGGCCTTTTGAGCTTTTTGATGCAAGAGATTCATTCCTCAAAGCTCATGTCAGACCTGTTTGTCACCGAGGAACAATGACAACTTGACTGTCTGGTCAGGGCTCAGACAACAGTCAGTAGGTGTATTTTTCATTCCTTTAAGTTATGGCCTTTCTCTGAGGCTATTAATCCTGGACATTTAGCAGAACTGCCACCGTGTCTTTCAGTTGTATTGGAGATGCGTTGTCTTTCATGTAACACTTGTTTTAGAAGCTTGTTTGAAGGGTGTTTCTTTATAAAATCATTTGTAACAAAATTTTAGCCCCCCCTCCTCCAAATACCCCTTAGAGAGTTAATCAGAGATACTCAGAGTTCAACAACTGGGAAAGCCATTAATAATGCAGACAGTTTCTGTCCTGCTGGCTTAAAGGCAGCTTCTGGCTGTTCAAATTGATGAGGATTTCTCTGGTGTTCCCTTAAAAAGTACTCCTTCTTGGTAGAGAGACAGCGCTAACATATTTGCATACTCTTTTCTTCACTTCCTTTCCTTAAAAGGTTGTTAGCTATATCATGTGAGAGCCCAGTATTTAGCACTTGCCACTACTGTTAATGTTGACCTACTGTGGGTCTGCTCATCTGGCATCATATTTGGTCTCTTTTTGACTTTCTTCACTGCCTTCTAGCTCATGCAGCTTGCTTGCTGTCGACCTTGTGTTAGCAGTAAGTGAAAGGCAGGCTCCTACTCTTTGGAATATGACATTATTTTAAGTGCTTCTAATTCCCTTGGTCTTTTCCTGGAACTCTTATCATTATCTCTTTCCCCCAGATCTCCCATGCACTGAAATTTGTTTTCCCATCTCCAGTCATCTCCAAATCCCCTTCTTTATAAGCAATAAAGTCAGTTATTCTTTCCACCTCGAGTCTATTTAGAGCTGTGCCTTTGTGTGCTATACCAAAAGTTTTCCCTCCTCTTGTCACCCAATTTGGCTTTTGGACATTCTGATCATTGCTACCTTGACACATTCTTCCTTTCAAGATTTTTCCTGGTTAGTAAACATTTGAGTTGCTTGTCTATTATGCTGTTTTCTCTTAGAGGATTTTGCTTGTTTCTCCCTCAGACAACATCTCATTTGTGTGTTCCTCACGTTTCATATTTCCCTAATTGTTCTGGTTCTTGTCCTGTCATTTTTCTGTTGTTAGAGTCCTAACACTCTGAGTTCAGAGGCTTATCTGCATGTTATTGAGATGCCATTTAGCTCCTGCGTACCCACCCTTAGCCAAGATGCTAAGATGAAGACCAGCATAGACATCTCTGCTCATTTGTATGTTGTTTTTCTGTGGTGCCGTCCATTTGAGAGTTTGCTTGTCTCTGAGCCAGCTATTTCTAGTTAGTGATTGGGTCTCAGTGTGTAGCCCAGGCTGTCCTCAAACCTTTCAGCCCTCCTACTTCAGCCTCCTGAGTGCTAGGAGCACTATATGTGTGTCACTCTATCTTGTGTGACTTGATCTTATATATCATGTTTCAGTAATCACTAAACATTTTAAAGCTATTACCCTCTGTATTTTAGCCCCTTTCCCTTTTTCTTTAATTGGGGGTGTGTGTGTGTGTGTGTGTGTGTGTGTGTGTGTGTGTGTGTGTGTGTGTGTGTGTGTGTTGGCGCTTACACATTAAATTACTATTTTAGCCCCCTCTCATTTAAAATGAAAAAAAAATACTGTTTTTAGGTTTTAAAGCAGCAAAAAGAGGTTTGTGATATATATTGTAGGAGTCAAACTTGTCCCCATTCACCGTTGTCACTTGTCGTCCTGGGTCCTCTCACCAGGTTTGATGTTCTCTTAGAGTATTGGCACCTCCCCAGTACCGTGTAGTACCCTGCCCTTCCTCTCTGCTAATATCAGATTGTATTCCATGTTAGCAGAAGTGGGTGAATCTACAGACTTATAAAACATGTACAGCTCCACAAGGGGTTTCTAGGAAGAACAGCTCAGTCCAGAGCCGTGGGACAGAATCTGTACTCTAATGCTGCTTTCCAACTTTATTTTCAATCTTCCTGAGGCCTGGGGGCCTCTCTGTGCTCTTTATAGGACACTTTTAAACTTTAAAATGTTTTCTAACTCCTTTCATGAAAATTGGTTACATTCACTGATAAATGCACAATAATGAAAAGCTATCTATCATGACTTTAGTTGTACTTTTAAATTAATTAATATGTTAACTGATCACAGCCAAAATCATATATTTGAAATATGTTTGGTTTGAGAGCTATCTTATTTGTTTAACATTCAGTTTCTTTGTGTATGTGTGAAGAGCTCTACAATAATTGCATTTTATTGGTTAGCCACTTCTGATGTATTTGTGTATGTGCATGCATGCGTGCTGGGGGTGGACATGTGTATGGCTTTGGCTTGAAGTTGATGTTGACTATCTTCCTTGATTGTTCCTTCACTTTATTTCTTAAGGCAAGGTCTCTTGATGAACCCAGAGCTCCCCGATTTTGGCTATCCTAACGGGGTAGCCAGCTTTCCTTGGGGATCCCCTGTCTACCTCCTAGGATTACAAGCTGCTCCCCTGCCAGCCCAGCTTTCATATGAGTTCTGGGAATCAGAACTCCAGTTCTGATTCTTAAATGGCAAACTTTATATCCAGTGAGCCATCTTTCTAGAACCCCATCCCTCTTATAAATTGTTTTTTACCCCTACCTTCCTTTTTACTCCCCATGTAATCTTATATCTTCCTCCTGATCTTTTCTTTTATCCCCAGAGTTTCAAGTCAACAAAATACAATATCTTACGAAAACCGTAGTGTATCTGTTCTTTAGGGGGAAACCCAAATGCTGACTTCTAATGGATCAGCTTCCAATTGCCTTGGTATTGATTGTTCTTAATGCTCAGAAGCACATTCTACCTAACACAAACCTTTAAAGGCTTTTGTTTCTGGCTGGTACAGCTCCCAGTGGGCCACTTATAAGCCAAAGTGTTCCTTTAACTTTGGTTCCAGGGCCAGTTTGAAGATTATCTGATTGATCTGAAGGTAATCCAAAGAGAGAATTCAGATGTCCCAAATCAGGCTCTCAGAGGTTCATTTATTTCCTGGAGTTGTTTAAGCAGCTAATTAACTGCTCCGTCCAGCCAGTGCCCTTTGGCTTATTGTTTCTTTGATGTGTTGGAATCTTTAGCCACGTGAAATTTCTTCCCTCTTTTCTTGTAGAAAGCAGTGAAATACAGTGGAAAGAGCCCAAGGTTTAAGTTGGCTCTTCCTTGAATCCTCAACCATGTTCTTGCCTGTGACCTTGGATTTGCCTGTCTGATTCTTAGTTTCCTTACGTAAAATCAGACTACTAATACCTCATGGGATAGCTGGAGAGATTTAAGTAGGATGACATTAACAACATTTGAACTAACTTAGCAGGTACAATAATCTATAATAAAAAATACCTTTTTAAAAAAAAACTCAAATGACTTGGTTTAGAAGTGCCATTTTGTAATATTTTTCATCATTGTCGATTTTTCAATTTTTCAAAGAAGGAACTAAGGATTTTTTTTTCTTATTCCTGTCTTTCTGCCTGCTTGCCCTTTTGGTGATACTAAGGAATGAGCCAGACAGGCAAGGACTGTGCCACTGAGCTACATCTCTAGCTCCCCAACCTCAGTCTCTATCAGTCTCTCTTTCTGCCAAGGGGCTCTAATGAAGAAAAAGACATTCTTGGACCAGATGTGGTAGCACATGCCTTTAGTCCCGGTACTCTGGAGGCAGAGACAGTTGTCTGTGAGTTTGAGACCAACCTGGTCTACAGAGCAAGTTCCATGACAGCCAAGACATAGAGCAACCCTGTCTGATAATTAAAGAAAAGAAAAAGACATTTTTTAAAAAAGATTTATTTATTTATTATGCATACAGTGTTCTGTCTGTATATGCGTCTGCATGCCAGAAGAGGGCACCTGATCTCATTATAGATGGTTGTGAGCTACCATGTGGTTGCTGAGAATTGAACTCAGGACCTCTGAAAGAGTAGTCAGTGCTCTTAACCTCTGAGCCATCTCTCCAACCTGAAAAAGATATTCTTATATAACCTTTCCAGATCCCTAGACATTTGGCTTCACTTTCAGATACTCCAGGGTCCAAAGAGCATATTGACTCAAGAAAATCCTTTCAGAGCTGGCTTGAGGGTACCTTTGGGCACCTCTCCTGAGTGTTGTTTAGTTTGCAGATGCTTATGTTTGGTAGAAGGTGAGTGATTCTGCTTTAGTCATTGTCTTATGTGTAGTCTCTCTGTTTTCTCCAGGGACAATGGTGACAGATCTAGGCACCGAGCTCCCCGCAATGCCCGGATGTCTGCACCTTCACTTGGACGCTTTGTCCCAAGGTAAGAACTGGGTTGTAAGCATAGAGGGATCCTTGATAAAAGCCTAGGATTTCATTTTTGTTTGGTTTAATTTGGTTTTTCAGTTCTGGAACTAGAACCAGGGCCTTGGCAGATGCTAGAGAAGCATTCTGTCACTGAGACCCACCACCCAGACCTTTAGACTTTAGTTTAACCTCTGGTTTTGGATTGTCCATATATGAAATTGTTTCCTAATAAGTCTGTATTCTAGTCCTGCCACCTAAACATTTGATGGGAGGTAATAACAGTGCATAGAAATATGGCACCAAGAGCATACAGATCAAAGGTAAAAGTGGAAGAGTCTTCCTATGTAGCTCTAGCTGGTCTGCAACTCAGTTATGTAGACCAAGTAGGCCTCTGCCTGTGAGTGCTGGAGTTAAGGGTGTGTACCACCCCACCTGGCTAGTTTTACTTTAGAAAAAAGAGCAGTAAGGAGTTACAAACTTTGAAAAGGACAAATCCTGTGGATTTTTTTACACCTTTTGAGCTTTCATGGATTTTTAGCTTAGTGTATCCTTTAGGCTATATTATGTTACAATTTATGTTCTGGGGCCCAGTCTGGCCTTGAACTTGCAATCCTCCTGCCTTAGCCTACCATCCATGTGTTAGGATTATAGTTGTATACCTTTATGCCCAGCCTTACTTGGCTGATGATTTTGAGACTCTGTGGCATCTCCTTTGTTGTTTGGTAGTCTTTAGTTGGCTTTTCACATGTGGTTCCTTCTTACAGGCGTTTTTTGCTGCCTGAGTACTTGCCTTATGCTGGGATTTTTCATGAACGTGGACAGCCTGGCTTGGCTACTCACTCTTCTGTTAACAGGGTCCTGGCAGGTAAGGAAACATTTCTTTGGATTTTGAAATTGACAGGAAGCTAAAACTTCTTCCTTTTTCCCCAGTATTGATATGATAGTCTCTTAGCATCTGTCTGAACGTCTGTTGGGTCCTATATGCAGTTTCTTACTTCCAGGCAAGAATCAGTAGGAATGAGAAGCTGTTTCTCTTGCCTAGTTCTACTTACTTCAGGCCTTTTTGTAGAAAAAGAAAAAAAGAAAAAAAAAGGGGCGGGGAGGAAGGAACACATTTAAAACCATTTGTGTCTTAATATACATAATTAAATCATGGCTATGCTTTATTTGAATGATAAAGGTATCTTGTTCATGGTTCAGTTGGTGAGATACTCATGAGCTCGATCCTGTGATTTTGATTAAGAGCTTAATGCACACCTCTCCACCCCTTTGCTTCTGCCAGCACATGAGGAAGGAGGAGGGAGAGACTGGTGGAGCCAGCTCAGCACGCCACATGGGAGGAAAGTAGGCTGGGCAGAACTGCTGAGGGGGTGATGATGAATGAATTCCTTAAGTGACCCATGCTTTGGGGCTCTGAGACATGATGTCACCAGGTTCTGGGACATGTATGCAGCTACTTCGGGACAGTCTCCAGAAAAAGGAACAAAGCAGAAATCTGGTTTTTATGATGAAGGTTCTTTCCTCGCTACAGTCTTTGCCCCTTCCCATCACTCACTGCCAACTTATAAAATTATTTCTGAAAATATATAAAACTTCAGTTGTATTAGGCATATCTTGAAAGGGTCTTTAATTAGAAAAATTTAAATGTCATTGTGTTTTTTGAAAACCTGGACCATGTGATGGTTAAAGGTAGAAAGGCAGCTTGTGCGAAGATGGCGCTGCAGGGCTGTGAGAATGTTGCTTCTGTTAGCTTTGCTTTAGGCTTCCTTCCTCCCCTCCTCTCCTGCCCTCTCCTCCCTTCCTTCTTTTCTTTTCTTTTTTTTAAAATTTTTATTTATTTATTTTTTTTATGGAGTGTGGGCAACATAGTCTCACAATGTACCCCAGGCTTGGAATTTGCTATGTAGACCAGACTGGCCTCTGCCTCCCAAGTGCTGAGATCATAGGTATAAAAGCAGGCATCCCCAAATCCCGAAATTATAGGGAATTTTGTTTTGAGACACAGTTTCACTGTGTACTTTGGCTGGCTTAAAATTGACCATGGAAACCAGGCTTGCCTTGAACTCAGATCTGCCTGCCTCTGCCACATGAGGCTGGGATTAAAGGCCTGAGCCACCATGCTTTGTTTTAGAATTTTTAACAATGCTGCTGTGGCAGCTGGCAGGCCATGGAATCTAGCCCTTCCTAATTTAATACCCTTGACCTAACATGGAAGTCTAGAATCCCACAGTCCTCAGGAGTTTCTCTGCCAGACACTAGAACTTCATAGGCACTGTCTCTAGATAGCTGTTAGAAGAGGTCTGGTCCCAGTTGTTAAAGAGAGCGGATTTGTGCCTCTCCTTGCCTGACACTGCTGTGTGGCTTGGCTGAAGGTTTGTGAGAGATAACCACTTGCTGCCAAGCATTGATACCAAAGAGCTCCTCTGCCCTTGTCTTTGTTCCAGACATCTGCCTCTACCACTCCACATAGCACATCTTGCTCTTCTGCTGCCAGAAAAACCTCTCTTTCCTTGGCATTAAGCTTTTTTTTTTTTTAATTAACAGCTGTATAGTTTATTTCTTTTCTTCCTTTGCTCTAGTAATTCTGCACCTTTACTTTTCATTCCCTACTTTCTGACCAGTGTCCTGACACCTGCAGACCTGGTTGTCCTAACAGATGCCTTTGACAATGAGGGGCATGTTCTAGCATTTTATAGGTTATGTATAGGTATGACATCTACTGAGAAAATTTATCTCTCAAATGATTGTAAATGCCACCAGGAGGAGGAATCTAGACTTCTAGAACCTTATGCCTGAGTTAGCAATTGTTTCTATTCATCATTAATATTCATTTTCTTAATTGCAATGTTAGCGTGCCTATTGTGACTTCCCGTGAAGCTGTCATCATGTATAGATACTTGGATGTCCTTCTGTATTCTGTTAACAGCTGTGTCATTTTTTCTTTATCTTTCCTTTAGAAAATTGCAGCACTAATAGTAATAGCAACAAAAACCGAAGTGTGTATTACTTACTATGTACTAGGAAGCATTTTAAGTACTTTAGGAAAGTTTCATTCCAATCCTGCAGTAGTTCTGAGACAAGTGGTATTATATAATGAATGGTGGAGGGAACACTGGTGACTCTGGACAGGCCTTAGCCATAAAGCCAGAGGGTAGAGGAAGCAGGACTGAGCCCAGACAGTAGACTCTAAGACTTAGACTCCAAGCTACTTTCTTAGTCTGCTGCCCCATGGTTATTTAAAAAAGACAAAGCATCAACAGAATTCCTTTTCCAATACCTTAACACAGAAGACAGAAAGGTCTCCCAGAATCTTTCACTGCTCTTCCGAGTTTTTCCTATTCACTTTTTCTGTGTTAAATGGTGGTTCCTAGGCACGACCCTTTATATCTGAGTGGTGCTTGCTGAGGGAAGTCTTACTATGTAATAATAGCTTTTCTTTGAGCCTTCTTGTTCTCCTGGATATAGATGTTTTGCTTTTTATCAAACTTACTTGTGATCATGTAATTGAGGTGCTGTAATAATGGCTTTCAGAGTGCAAGAGAAATTGGTCTTTTAACAGTAAAACATTCCCAATTTTTCTGGAAAGGTACTTTCTCTTATATGATTGGAACAATATTGTGATGGTCTCAGAACAGTTACATTTGGCAAATATTTGTTCTGCACTTGTTTCAGTCCAGGCAGTGTGCTGGACTAGCAGGGTGAACAAAACAGACAGAATCCCCGCCCTCCTGTATCTTGAAATCTTAGTGATACATCATACCTTAAAGTGCTGCTCAGTTCTTGGTCCAAACATAAGTAGAACCTCTGTTTGTAGATGTCGAAGGACAAAGCAAGAATACCACTGCTGTTTTAGGAACTGTGACTAGTACTATAGGGGCAAGTGAGTCTCCAGTGGGCTCTCAGCAAATCTGTTCTGAAATGTCAGTAAAACTAGATTTGTGGAAAATTAAGATCCTTTCATCCACCAGAGTCTGGGAGTGATCCTAGACAAATGGAGCCATTGCACCAGAGTGCTCTTCTCTTTTGTCTTGGTGGAGTCTCCACAATTCTGTAGGTTCCTACTGGTCTCCAACTACCTACCAACCCAGGGCAGCACAGATTCTGGACCCATACTTAAAGAAATATACATACCCTCAAGTGCTATTGCATCTCTAACAGGTATATTGGGGGTGGGGTGCATGTAGCAGTCGAGAAAGCTCTCCCAGCTGACTTTTTAGCAGACAAGGACTGAAATGAAGTTAGCCACTGTCTCAGAGTAGTCCTTAGTACTTTCCCTTACACTGTCTCTGTAAATCATTGTTCCAACCCTGTGAAGTAGGTGTTAGTGTTAGCATTTCTACCCGGCAGGGAAGAAAACTGAAGCTCAGAGAAGTTACGTCACTTGCCCAGCATAATACTGTGAGAGACAGAGTTGAGAGATTAAAGCTGGTCTGCCTAACTCTCTTCTGTCTTCTAAGCCATTTTGCTTGAGTTCAAGTAGGGAACTCCAAAAGGTTCCTGATCTTGTAATAGTTTTTGACATGTTTGAGGCCTCAAAGAAGTGAAATGAGAAGTCCTGGCATTGGACAGCTTCCTGATAATTACTTGAAGAACAAAAATCTTCTGAAGATAGGGCCTGAGTAATGTAGGGTATGTTATCTGTCCTGCATAATCCTCTTGACTTTCATCCTAATGAGCATCTGTTCCTGGCAGATGTGAGCCTGATGTACTTAATCACTATTTTGATTAAAATCAATGGGAAGTGTCAGGTTCTTCTTGCTCTTACCCACAGGTCATTGGAATCTAGTCAGATGTCCTCGATTAGAGATGGCCTTGTGCCCAGTCATCTTTGTTTCTCCTTTGACACTTTACTCCATTGGTTCTCAGCCTGTGAGTCTCGACCCCTTTGGGTTTGTTGGACAGCCCTTTCAGAGGGGTCACCTAAGACCATCAGAGAACAGAGATATTTACATTATGATTTATAACAGTACCAAAATTACAGTTATGAAGTAGCAACAAAAATAATGTTATGGTTGGGGGGGTGGTCACCACAACATGGAAAAATTGTATTAAAGGGTTGCAGCATTAGAAAGTTCGAGAAACACTGGTTTAGTTGTTTAGGGGTGCATTTTTCTTTTTCCACATAACTTATGACTATATTTTCCTCTTTTAAAAAAAATCTCTAATTTTGGTGTGGCTTAAGAGTATACTTGGTATAATTTCAGTTATTTTAAATTTATTGTAACTTTTGCGGGGGCTTAGCATATGGGCTAGCCTAGCAAATGTGCTTGGTCAGAATGTGTATTCTGTTGGTGTTCGGTGAAGTGCAGATACTTGATTAATAGTGTTGATGTTTTGTGTATTCTTGTTGGTTGGGTCTGCCTGCCTTCCTTCCTTCCTTCCTTCTTGTTTTTTTGTTTTGTTTTGTTTTGGTTTGGTTTGGTTTGGTTTGGTTTGGTTTTTCGAGACAGGGTTTCTCCCTAGCTGTCCTGTATCTCGCTCTGTAGCCCAGGCTGGCCTCGAATTCACAGAGATCCACCTACCTTTGATTTCTGATTTTTAGGAATTATCCTAACTTGCCAACCTGATAGCGGCACGATTGTTTAGTCCAGCAGATTGCTTTGTCATTCATAGTGTGCCAGCTCTGCACTTGATTTATCAAATCTGGGGAAGATAGGTGATAATAAATACAGTTGGGTTATCTTGGTATTAAGTACAAGTAGAAATAAATACTGATTTTTGCATTATTTTTCTCTCTACTCTGTACCCCTCTGGGACCCTGTAGCCAGGCAAGTAAAGTGAGTAGCGCATTCCAACTCAATGTCAATTAAGGTGACTGTTTATAATCCCAGATAAATGGACAATTAGTGATGGTGATACTAACTA